AATATTCTGCCTCAGTTTACTCAATTATTTATTAAGACATTTTATTTCTGTAATGTGCAATGGATTTTTTAATACAATTTCTACTAATGTACCTTTTTGAAAATTTAAAATTTTAACGCGTTGTAGTTTTTTTGAAATTGAAAATTCGAAACATCGAAAAATTGGAAAATCGAAAATTTAAAAGAAAGATGAAAAATCGAAAATTTTAAAAATCCCGTAAATTGAAAAATTGAAATTTAGAAGAACCGAAAACTCGAGAAATCAAAAATCTAGAATTTGAAAAATTGAAAAATTAAAATATTGAGAAGTTGAAAAACTGAGAAATCGAAATATAAAACAGCCGAAAATTGAAAAATCTAAAGTTTAAAAAATGAAAAACTGAAAATCGGGAAATCCAGAAGTCGAAAAATCGTAAGCTTATAAAAGCAAAAAATTGAAAAATCAAAATCCTGAGAAATTGAGAAATTGAAATATCAAAAACCTGAAAAATCGAAAAATTGAAGAATTGAAGAAGTGAAAAATCGAAACTTTGGGAAGAAATGGGAAAATAAAAAAAAAGATTACTTCAGAAATCGGAAAACTGAAAATTTAGAAATGTCAAAATTTGAAAAATTCAAAAATTGGAAATACCTAGAATTGAAGTACTGAAACATTGAAACGTCTAAAGTAGAAAAATAGAGAAATCTAAAAGCCGAATAATCTAAATAATGTATTTATAAACCACAAGTTCAGGATTATGCTATAGATAAAACTGTTGAACTTCCTTGTCCACTTTGTTTACAAAAATAATTTGGAAATTTAGACTGGTCCCCTAATATGTGGTTGGATCCATTCAGGATGTCGTTTTTTTAAATTATTTTTTTTTATGCAAAGGAATGTTTTCGTTTTTTCTGTATTTTATATCTGGAAACCTAACCTTGAAGCGTTATATTCTGCCTCGATACCTTTGGCTAGGAAAAAATACGATCAACTGCAAGAACTGAAGTTGTTCGTGTCGGAGGAGTTTCAGTCATTTTACACGGAATTACCATTTACAGATGGCTATCAAAGTGATGACGAGCTCGACGAGTACTTACTTTTTCTTTTTTCTTATTTGAAATAAGTAACTTTTTCTCAGGAAAACATTGAGGGGTAGACCTTAGTACCGACCATTCAAGTTGGACTTAGTTTATTTTTTCATACAATATTCGAACAGAGGATTACACAATTGTATTTTTTTTTACTGTTATATTTGGGCATAAACAGTTTATTTTATATATTTTTAAAACATAAAGAAAATAAAAAGTTGTGTTAGACTGAACCTTGTGAGTTTCTCAATCTATTTTCTGCAGCGTTTTAAACTTTCAAATCAATTTTTTTCAAAATACATACAAATGGACTTCGATCGTTATTCCCCTATACTCTTCATTTGGAAATAAATATCTGGTGTTGTTTACAAATTTGCATTTTATGACGGACTCCCTACAGTGACCATAATCTCTCTTTTCTTGGGTTGGTACTTGCATTGGTTTGGTAGTTTGGGTTGCATAGTTACAACAAATAATTCTCACTGGAACCGATTTTGTACGCGACGACTGGGGACCCTTAAATAGTGAAATTTTTTGATATTTGTGTATAGTTCATTATCGTGAATCAACGACATGAATGTGTCCGAAAATGCTTGCCAATCTAAAAATGACCCCGAAAATACAGATAAATCCAATGTGGGCAACCGTACCTGATTTAACCTTACCTCCGAACCTTTCTGATTACTTGAACTGGGACTACTCGTGTTACGTTCGTTTGCCGAATTTTGTAGATCGGTCTCAATAATTTCTAACACTGCTGATTCTAAATCGTAATACTTAGTTTCAAATTTCTCGCGTTCCTTAGACTGATTAACCCTATTATCTAAAAGTTCTGTTTGCCTGTGATTGTCATCGAACTCTGTGAACGCCTTTCGAATATGCGGTAGGCGCATTTTCAGCTGGTAGACATTATTACCCGGTTGAAAATTGTCAACAAAATGTTTCATTCTAGTCAACGAGGCGTTTACCAAACCCGTTTTGTTAATTAATGCCTTTAACTCTTCCTGAGTCATTTTAACTAATAATTAATGAATGCTGCGTATGGGAAACCACAAACCAAACTGATAAATAAAAAAGCCTACCTTTACCTTTGGCACCACCGAACTCTTATTCGTTCTCTTCTCCACGGGATGACCTTAATTCGGCTGATCTGCTACTTCTGGCGCTGGATTACGATCCGGCTCGAAGGACCAAAAAATGATGGTGTGGCGATTCGTAGGTCCAAAAAATGTTGTGGGTTTGTGGCTCCTCGAAAGTACCAAAAAATGGGGGTTTCTGATTGTGACGCATTTCGAACCTGTGAACCGCGTCGTCGACTCATAGGACCAGGTTACAATGGATGACCAACTTCTAGGCCAATGTAAGACCCTGGTTGCTTGCTTGTAGGTCACAATGGGTGACACTCTGAACTAATGAGAGCAGCTACAAAATGTCTATACTTTTCACCGTTTATTTCCTTAGCCTAGCAGATACAAATTAACTATATATACATATTTAAAATTTTATAAGTGGGAGAGGGGGGTTGCCTCGCTGGTTGCACGGCGGGCAACTCGAACACTGAGAGATTCGAAAAGTAGTTGAAGGAATCAGATAAAACCTGTCGGAATCTCAGAGAATCTCGAAGAAGTTGGAAAAACCTGCGGAGATTTGAAAATATCTGTTCGGTTTTAAAACGACCTGAATAGAACTAAAAAATTTGAAAGAATCACGAAGATTCCTGACGGTGTCTTTGAAAGAATCTGAAACAATCCAGAAGCATCGAAAAGCATCCGGAATAATCCGCAAGAATAAAAAAAATCGAAAGAATCTGAAAGAGAGAATTAGAAAGAAAATGAAAGAATTTTGAGGAATTTGAAGGAATCTGAGAGAAATAGGGAAATTCGGAAAGAATCTTAGAGATTCTGAAAGAATTTGAAAGAACCTGAAGGAATTTGAGGGAACCTGTGAGAATCTGAGAGAATCTCGAACAGTCTAGAAAAATCTGGAAGAATTTAGAAGAGTCTGCAGAGATCTGAAAGGATCTGTAAGGTTCTAAAACGATCTGAATAGAACTGGAAAATTTGAAAGAATCTTGAGAATTCCTAACGGTGTCTTTGAAAGAATTTGAAAAAATTCGGAAGAATGTGGAACAATCCGAAAACTTTCAAAAACATCCGGAATAATCCGAAAGGAATAATCTTAAAAAAAAGAAAAGAATCTGAAAACATTTGAAAGAATCTGGAAGAATTTGAGGGAATCAATAAAATCTGATGGAATGTGAAACTAAGAATCGGAAAGAATTAGGAAGAATCAGAGGGGATCGGAAAGAATGCCAGAGAATCTAGAAAAATATAGAAAAAATTGGAAGAATCTGAAACAGTTTGCAGGGATCTGAAAGGATTCAAAGCGATCTTGAAAAATTTGAGAAGATCTGAAACGATTTGTAAAGATCTGTAAAATTCTGAGGAAATCTGAGGGAATCTTGAGGGATGTTATTGATAAAATCTGAAACAATGGAAAAAAATCTGTAACATAGTCTCCTTTTTCTAGAAACTTTCGCATTAATTTTTCAACTTATTCTCACAGCCAGGAATTTGCTGCAAACTATTTTAGGTAAATTGTGCGAATTTAGACACAGTGACCATTTTTAACAAAATTGAAGGAAAACTTGATATTGATATTTTACCGTTGAGACGTTATAGAAGTTAAATGAAGACAAATTTTTTCCATAATTCTTGATATTAAAATGAATCAAATACGAATTAGACTCTCTCGCATAGAAAAATTATTCATTTTTCACGTACTTAATGTAATAATAATGTAATAATAATAAGATAACCGAATGCTCTAAAATCTTGCAAACGTTTTAGGTTATAGGAAGCAAAAAATTATGACATCATCTTACAATTTTGCAAATAAGTTTTCTTTAAATTTTACAAAATAACATGCTCCTGTATGTGTGGTTTATGAAACCGTGTTGAATTTTTACCATTGGCATTCGGACTTTTTGGGAAAAAAATCAAAATTTTACTAACAATATTTTACAATTTAACTTTGAAATTGTAAAAACCGATTGTTGTGAAATCTTACAAATATTTTACGGTTACTGGAAGCTTGTTAAATCGTTAATCGAAATTTGTCCGTCATCTTACAATTTTTCCTCAGTTTAAGAGTGTTTTTGAGAAAAAAAACTCAGTGTGGTTAATTAATCAGTTAATCATCTCCTCTGTGTTGAGGATCAAAATTCACTTTCTTTTAACAGCTAATGCCTGTAATCTGAACGTGCTGATAGTCGAATTTTTTCGAAGTATAAACATAAACAGTCGAAGTTAAGTATATACTTAGAAATTGAGAATATCTACATTTTCCCCCTTGATTATAAGTTTTAAATATATCTCATATGATCCACACTTAATAATTTAATTTAAAAATAGAGAGCTGACTGGTATGAAATATTGGAAACGCTTTAAGTTTATTGTAAACGTCAGTCAAATTTATCCATTTATTCCCTGCAGATTTTTGATGACGCCATCTCAAAATTGTACTAGATAAATCTTACTTAAAATCTAAAAAATATTGTGAATCTACATTTGTGTTTTATCAACGTACCCATATTGTTTGCAGTTGCTTATACAGGAAGACTCAAAAATATAATGAAATATTTGTATTGATTAAATCAAAAACGACTTACTTCTTTTTTTAATCTGGGAACAGTGTATTGTTGTTATTACTTTTAGTATGTTCTGTACCTATCAACATTTATATTTTATCCTTAATAAGTTGATATTAACACAACAGTCTACAATTAGGACTTGTGAAAGAAACAAAACATTACTTTATACATTTTCTGCATTATTTCAAACCATGAAATTTAACATTTTTTTTCCTTTATTAGAATCAATCAACAATTATTTGCTTAAATTTTCTATAATTTTTTGAATTTTATCAGTATGATTTTTATTTTTTATTTACTCTACAATCTCTAAAACAGTTTACAATTCGACAACAACTTGATCACTACATTGATTTCAGGCCTGGACAATCAGGTACACACACGTATCCCCGAGCTCTGTCATACAAATCTCCATACAGCCTTTGAAGATCTCGATAAAGCTCTGCTCTTGTTGCTTCCTTCGGACACTCGCAACAGTCACACCTAAAACATCACCCTAAACTCCCCAACAAACCAATTTCCTCAAACTCACTCATATTCATGGTCATAACACGACCACTCCACCGATCTAGGAATCGAACTCAGAGTTTGTGTAAGTTTGGCATGTAATTTCTCAGCTAAACTAGGCTTCTTTTCCGTACAAGAACAAATCTTCTTGCACTGTTCCGTATCAGATGCGTTAAAGTCAGCCGAATCTGACTTATCGTCATCTGTGGCAAAAGCCACTGCACGGCAGCACTGGCAGGGACCTGCTCGTCTTGGGTCCTGACGCTTGAGATTATCGTCGTAGAGAGTTGTTCGAGTTTTAAGCTTTTCCTGAAAAATAGTGCGAAATTCTTGGTGGATGAAATGATAATAAATACTTCTTTCTTTGGTTGTGGGGGAGGGGTTGGGTCAAAGTAGCCTCTGTATTTGCAACAAACTGGACAGAAGTTCTCTTTGTGTCCGTTGCCGCAAGAACACATCCTGAGTGAACAGAAACAATCAGTCTGTCTGGCAGTTAAGTCTGATTTTAGTTTTCTTGTTAGATCTAGTTTTTTTCTTTCTTGGCTTTTTGATTGCCTACAACTTCAAGGAGATTGAAATAGTTCTAGAAATTAATGGTTTGTAGTTCCAAGTTTTATTTGGCCAAAATTATCCTGTTTAGACGCCAAATTAACCTTGGAACAAAACTTTGATAGTAGCTTCTATAAACCGACCTGCAGTACTTTCCCTCTAAGTCATATTGAGGTTTTCTCAAAATTAAATCATCTTCAGCTCTTCTATAGCAAAACGGTGGCCTACTCTTAACCGACTTAAACGGTCGTTTTCGCCTAAATAAATAGGAAAAATAATTAAAATTAAAACAAGTGACTACGAAGTACCTGCTATAAGCTACAGAATGGCAAACTTTTCTACATACATTTCTTCGTGGTTTGTGAAGTGTGGACATTAATACTTTTGGGTTAACTACAACCTGACTTGAGCTAGGTTTCGTGCACACACACAAAGTTTCCTCGATTGTTGTTTTCGTACTAACTTCAACTTTTGGTGCTATCGTTCCCTGTGGAACAAAATATCAGATGTAAAAACTTAATTGTGTAACTTTACCGGAAACGTTTTTGATGGGTCCATTAGCAAGTCTAAATCGACACCTGCTATTGATCCACTGACTGTAGAAGGATATAAAAGTTCGTCTAACGTTGTCTGGAACGAAGCTAGAATGTTGCCAATTTCGCAGTTTTGCCACTGGACCAATTCAATGTATAGCCACTGATCGTCTACAACAATTTCCTGTAAACATGAACCTGATATTTATAAAACTTACGAAGTTCTTTCTCAAGCTCGTTGAGTTGGTGTTTAGAGAAAAAAGTTTTATAAAAAATGAACTTTTCATTACACTGGATAGGAAAGTTGGGCTTGTAGCACGCGGTTTGAACACATGAGTCTAACATATATATTTGGAGGGATACTTTTCCGTTTGAACACAACCAGACACCGGGACATGTTACCTAAAATTGGTAGCGTCTGATGAAAGTAGGTCAAAAGGTGATACTTACAGCTTGAACGTCGAGTTCTACTTGCACGAGGAAAGCTTTTCTTGACATTATTAGACGAGTAAAACAAAAATAAATATCACATTTTTCGACTTAGTATTATAAAAGATTTTATTAGAAAATAAAAAAATGACAAGTAAATGTGTATATTGACATTGGAAATTTTGGATAAGTTTTGTGTCAAGCGAACGCGGTTGTTGCTAAGACACCATCGATTTAATTTGGTGGAGGTGCCGGGATATGAAATTGAAAAAAATGTGTGTGTGGGGAAAAACGTTGCATAAAGTTTACAAGGTTTTTCGCGTCTAGATTACAATAATCTATTTTACCCAATTTATATGTATGAACGAGTATCTAAAACAATGGTAAAAAAATAAACAACAATAATAAATTGCTTTCCGAAACTACTTGCTAAATAATTACGTATTTAAAATTTAATTAGATAAGTTAAAAAAATTTTAATCGTGTTTAAAAATGAACGATTTTATTTATGGCGTTGTAAAACAGTTGTCTGTATGACCGCTGTACGGTGGCGTCCTCATTCTCACTTTTGTTTTCGTTATAGTGCCATCTTCCGGCAAAGGCTGTTTTCAAACAGTAAAAAGCTGTAATCATTTCTACAAGTGTTGAAGTACTGATGAGAGATGGCTTCTGGTCGTAATTTTGTTTAATATAGATACACAAACTAGTCGATAAAGCTGCTACAATACTACCACTACTAGTAGTACTACTTTTACTACTACCTAACAACTACTTCATTGGTTTGTGTTCGATTTCTGAAGATTTAAGTTTTCTAGTAAAGAGTAGGTAGTTCTTTTAGCTCTTATAAAATGAGAAATGCTAACAGATAGGGACCAAATATTAAGAGAAAATATGTTCGTAGGCATTCTTATATTTTTAAATATTTTTAATAGCAACAGTTCTAAAAAAAATGTCTAAAGTTATTTAAACAGAACCCATCACCACATGTCAGTGCTCTTATACTGGTGTAAAATGTGATGATGCAATTTGGATTTTTTACGGAAACCGGATGCGTAGGGAAAAAATCAAGGCGGACTCATAAGCCACAAATATAGGAGTATGTTATTTTATACAAATTAAATGGCGTTTACTGAACAAAATTTTGAGGGCACATCATTAAATTGTTGGTACGGATGATTAGGCCAATTTTGGTAGTGACAGACTAAACCGAGAGACTTATTTTCGTACTCTAGGTGTCACGAAACGTCCAAAAAACGTGGAAGTTTGTAGTAGCCCAATGGCTCGTGAAGAAAAATAAAGTTATATTACTAAAATGCAAACACCTTTGCAACACGAATCATATTTTTAAACATTTATTTCATAAATTTTTGTGATATGATGTGTCACTAGCTTTTTAAAGGGGATAGATTATTAAATTATTTTTACTGCTTTATGCCAAAATTTAACATTCGGTGGATTCTAAGACAAAATTTTGCTTTTACATTTTTATTCGAATGACTAGTATTGTGTACCATCAAAAATATCAATATATTATTAAGCCACTGTACATCATCCTGAAAAATTTATTTTTACATCAGCTTTAAACATTAATAAATAGTTTAATAGTTATTTTATTGCTGTTGATTTTTTACCCGTCGGATGCATTAGCACCACAAATTTACAAAACAGCGAATTAAAATGTTATAAATTATAAATAAGTTTTGAACTTATTTACTCATTAGATTTTTAGGCCACAAAGTTTAACATCCAACTATATTGATTTAGAATGATTTTATCAGAAAATTAGGTAATTAGCGAGATTTAACAGAAATTCTGGATTGAGCTGAATTATTTGAAACAAACAAATGTAAAATTCAAAATATCAACACAGACGACAGAAAGACAACAGATGACAGACAGACGACAGACGGACAACAGACGGACGGAAATGGGAGACCATTTTTTCCTATCCTAGGGATCATGAAATTTATATAAATTACAATATTACAGTATGTGTCAAGCTTGAATGTTTTAAATAAAAAAGCTTCTGTTTTAATTATTTTTTTTATCATTAGCTTCCACATCAATTCAAACGTACCATATTGTTTTTTATAACATAAGTAGAAATTTATAACTGTTTCAATTGTGGACTTTGTTTATTTTCATTACTAATGCAAACCACAATAATTAATTGTAAACAAGCTTCACTGATCTACTCAACTAAATTAACCATTTAATCTCCTTAGACGAGGTACATACGATGTTGTTTCTGCTGGAACTAAACAAACTTTTTGTATTTCCTACATAACATTTACGAATGTGAGTTTATCAGGCTAAGTAAAGTTCGTATAATTAGTTATCACTACATCAGAATTACAACAAATTTTCCCTTTTTGACTATTATGTATTTCTGGAAAATTTATAACCCGGGAAGTCAAGGCAAGACTAAAATGATATTATACTGAGTGCTGACACCAAGTCCTGTGGGTATAAATTGATGTACAACTAGTTACAAAACAAAACTACGTTCATTCGACCATAGTAAAGGCATATTTGCTTTGAAATAAGTACAATACAATTGCGCTACGCGCACGACACATTTAGAGACAGCTCTGGAAAGTGTGTTTGTTCAAGCGTAATACATTTACTGTCAACATTTTGAAAACGTCAATATAAAGTATCTCTTCGTGTTTATCGGGCCAACACTTTGTCAACCAACTGTGATCAAAATTTTACTGAGCTTTTCTGTACGTACATGCATCTCCCATCAACATGTAAAATTATTTAATAACATTTTCATAACTCGTAACCTACATTCACGAGGCTCATATTCCACGAGTTCAAGGTTACAAGATTGGGTCACATACAGAATTTATTACACTTGCAACGCTAGGATATGGCAACATTTTTGTTTTATGAAATCGTGTTTTATTGAGCAGATGCAGCGCACGTGAGCGTTTTTCAGTTAGACGTTCAAATTAAAAAAATATAAGGTATTGATCTAAAATGAATGAGTATAGTCGATTTTAAATGTCAGGAAATAACACCCAAACTGGATGTGTGATCTATAAATTTTTTGCGCAGATCGTAAAGTAGTAAATACCTTATAATTTGTGTGACATAAATACGACAACTTGTAATTATTATTAATGTATATACAACTTTTTTTCAGAAATTATCCGAGATAAATTTACTTAATTTAAATAAACAATATCTTTGCAACAAGATAATAATTAGTGTTTACAAACACGATGCACTATGACACTCTAATCTAATCTGTCCCTGCATTAACCCCAAAAAATGTGGGTCACCCCGAAATTGAGCAGCTTAGATCCTTACTATCAGATTCTCGAATCATTCGCCGAAACTCGATGGCTTAATTGCCGCCAATAATTGAAGTTAACCCTCGATAAAGTTCGAAGGGTTGGCAAAAAAGGCCTTCTAATCAATCACGAGCAATGACACCTTCATTAACGTGGAATGATTTTCAATTATCGGGTTCGAAGTATCGCATAAATTATTGCAGAAATGTCGAAGCATATCTATATTTCTTGTTTTGGTGGGAGTAAATGGAATCGGAGATTTATCGAATGCAGGTGCAGTTTTGTACTCTTTGTACTTGTTTCGTGAAAAATTGAGAGTTCGACTTAAATGATGCGCTGGAGTGGCGAAAGATGCAATTCGTGCAAGCAGGCAGAAAATATAAAACGGGAGATTTCTTTTTTGTTTGTGGTGTGAGAGTCATAGGCGCCGACTTTCAAAATTGGAGGGCAAACTAGCTATTTAGCGTTATTTAATATTGAAAAAACAAACACAGGTTATAAGTGGACTGGTGTTTTGGATCAGACATATGCAGAATTTTTAAACGAACAAAATTTATATGCACATGTACTTCTCGTAATCTGACGTTCCTCAAAGCTGTAAATTACGGGATGTCAGCTTACGAAAATAAACGAGCTTTTTCACAATTAAGAGGATTTGAAATGCAATTCTTTTAGTGTAAAAAATTAGTCTAACGTTATATGTAGAATTTCCCCACCCCTGAAGTGCAGTTCAAAATTTTTTCTGATTTTTATTTTCTGATAACCTCTATAAAGTAAAACCAGTGACAGTGACTATGTATTTAAAAAGACATTTAACATCTATACTCACTGCCAGTGACGTAAATAACACTCCCACAGTTTTTTGACTTTCAGATTTTCAATTTTTCGAGTTTTCAAGTTAAATTTTCTTTGAATTTCGAATTTTTCAATTTTTAGATTTTGCAATTATTCAAAATGTGTTTCTCTAGTTTTCACTTATTATATTTTTTAATTTTCCGATTCGCAATTTATCGTTTCGGTTTTTTATTCTATTTATTTTTTCAATCATTAAATTTTTTAATGCTTAGATTTTGTAATTTTTTGTTTTTTTTTTATTTTAATTTCTTCTGTCTTTCGTTTTTGCAATTTTTCGATTTGCAATTTCTCAATTTTCCATTTTTTTATTTCTTTAATTTTTAGATTTTTCAATTTTCTATTAGAGTTTCTCCAGTTTTCAATTTTTAATTTTTGAAAGTTTCGATTTTGTAATTTTTTGTTTTTAAATTTTTAAATCAATTAATTCAAATTTTTTATTTTTTGTTCCTTCAATTTTTCGATTTGCAATTTTTCAATTTTGCGTTTTCTTTTTGTATCTTCAATTCTCTTCAAGTATTAATTTTTCGATTCTTGAATTGTTCATTTCTTCAAATTTTCGATTTGCAATTTTTCAATTCAAATTTTTTTTTTCTTCAATCGTAGTATATGTATGCAACCCTTGGAGTTTTCATTTAAAAATTTTTCAGTTTTTAATTTTTCCAACTTTTGGATATTTCGATTTTTAGATTTTAAAATTTTTGCGATTTGCAGTTTCACGAGTTTCCAGTTTTTAATTTTCCAATCTTTCTAGTTTCCAGTTTAAATATGAAATGATAGTTATTATAATTTTTAGAAATTTTCTGTTTTTCAATTATTGGATTTTTAAACTTTTTCATTTATTCGATTTTTCAATTTTTCGGTTTTTAATTATTCAATTTCTCCAGATTTAATTTTCCGTTTTCCATCGTTTAATGTTACAGTTTTTGGACTTTACAAATTTTGACGATTCTATAATTTTTCGATTTTACTACTTCCATTGAATCATATTTTTCTATTTAAAAATTTTTTTTTTCA